CCACAGCTTTGCTCCAGAAGGCAATTCCACCAGTGCAAAGTTGCTCATGAGTGCTGTGAGTCTTCTAACACATCTGCAAGGTCAAACTCTTCTTCTGAGGGGTTTTTAGCAGAGCTGGTGCTGGTGGGCTGGCATCATCCCTTCCTCTCCTTTCAGACTGACGTTGCCTGAATGCAATTCCTGTGAGAGCAGCTCAGGCTCCCTGACACCTGAACAATGGAACATGCATTTAGTTGTAGCCCTCATGCCGCCTCCACACTTATCCACAGGGCTCCTGTGACAGCTGTAAGAAAGGCAGAGCACATTGCATATGTAAAACAAGAGGGCTCCGTGTTCATTATGGCCTTCATCATTTAGCTGCCAACCCAAAACATTTCCCTTTTCCACTGTGTAGCTGCAGTATCTTTTGTGTGGTGGAAATTTGCCAAGAGATTCTATTTTGGGTCATGGTCAAAGAGGTCAGTGCTTGTGTGAAGGAGGGTATTCCTCCAGGTTTTTGGCAGGTTTTTGGCAGTAGAAGCTCTGGAGGGGAGGACCCTGAGCATGGTTCACCTCTGAGGACACAAACTGCAGTGTCATTGCCTGCCCTTCTGGAGAATCACCAGTGTAATCTGATTAAAGACATTTCTCAGATGAGTCAAGTGGCTTTTGTAAATTTAACCACCTTTCCTGATCATCAAGCTGGTTAAACACACAGCAGTGGTGCCTCTCTCCACTGCTGTGGCAAGGACAGCCAAGTGCAGCAACCTGACTTGGGAATGTTGTTCCCAAACCAGAAAAACACAGATTTTTGAAGTGGTGACAGCACCTGAGTTTGTGGCTTGTTTGTTTTTGGGTTTTTTTTGCAGGAAGAGAAGAGAGGTTTGACAATCATCAAGATCATCAGGACAGCCTGACTGAAGTATGAGTTCAGCAGTGGCTGAATATTCAGGCTGCAGGCTTCGAAACCTCTCATAAAGGACATAACTTTATCTTGTCCTTGTGATTTTGTGCTTTGATTCACCTAACTAATGATTTATTATAACCTGGAGGGCAATAAAAAATACTATGCTGAAGCTTTTATTGTTTCATTTTGGTTGGCATTAAATTTTGGTACCGTCTTTTACTGGTGTTCCTAATTCTCCCTCCCTGTGTAAGTTCAGGTTAATAACCCTGATGTGAGAGCACGTGTTCAGCACTGCTTCTGCTGCTCCTGCCCATTCCTCTGGTTAAGATTCTCCTCTCAGTGGGCTCCCCTGCATCCCATGTTGTGTTTTCACAAGTTTTCATGAGGAGAAGAAGAGGATAAGCATGGAGAGGCTGTTATTTATTTGCACCTCCCTGCTTGAAGACATTGCTGCTGGGATACCCTGGCTCTGGGAACTCCCAGGAGGGTATTTCAGGTGAGTTGTGGCGGCCTCATCCAGCTTTCCCTGCACAAAACCAGCTGGAATCTTGCCACTCCAACATCTCCATCAGCAGTGGGGAGCTGGAGTGCTTTCCAGCCTGGATTCCTGTGCTGCCTGTGGTGTCACATCACACAGACACTTCACCTGTGAGGCTGGAACCCCGTCCAGGCTGCGCCTGGGGCTTTGCAAACTCAGCATTGCCAAATTGCTCTATCATGCTGCTGTTCCTCCCACTTTCATGGATGGATGTAGCTGTTCCTGCCCAGGTTCTCTCCCACGTGGAGCTGTTTTGTTGGGAGCTACCCAGAAAGGCCATGCAGAGGTATCAGCAGTCCCCAGATTTCAAACTCCTGGTTTTACCCTGGTGGCTGAAGAGCCCAGTGAGCACCCAACACAGCTGCCAGATTTCAGGTCAAATCATGCCTGCAGGTTTATCTTCCTTTTATATCCCATTTTAATTCCTCCTGTTTCTGTAAATCAAAAAGCTAGAGCTGAATACAACTCTAACTCTATATAATGGTAATTGTTACCATTATAAACCAATATTTTTACTTATTTGTGTATTACCATTATAAACCAATATTTTTACTTATTCTAGCACCACAGGTCCCACTGTAGTGGACACGATAAGGCAGCACCACCAACGCCAGTCCCTCCCCAAACTCACCAGAACGTGGAATTTCTTTTGTTTCAGGTTTTTCTGGTGGGATTAAGAGTTTTGCATCTGCCCGTGCATCCCACTTTATAAAAGGGGAAGGCAACAATTTTTTGAGCTGCTCCTGCCAGGGAATTGTTGCCTGCTCTGAACTGCCAGGCTCAGAGGGACGCAGGAGTTGGGGCAGCTGATGTGACATTGACCCTGAGGTAGGAAACAGCTCTGTCTCAAGCACTGCCCTTATCTCCTCTTCTGTTAGCTGGTTATCTGGAGCCTACACCTTGCAACCTCAGGTGTATTGTCATCAATCATTCCCTATTTTCTTCTGCGTGCTGGTTCCTCTCTGCCCTTCCTTTGTTAATAACCCAGTTTGCCTATATCCATAAAAATATCTGATTGTGATACCATTTATCCAAAGCGCCACACATCCATCATGTGCTTATGAGCCAGATAAACAAGGTCTCCTGGGAAATATGCCTCCAGAAATATATAGGATAAATAACTGTATCAAATGTATGTCAGTGTGCAAGAGGGGAAAATCCATTCATTAAAACCCGGGTGGAACCGCAGTGTTTTATTGTACCCTCCAAGCTTTTAGTTTAACTAAGAAACATACATTTTTGCTGCTTATCTCATCTTGCACAACTCTCCTGCTGCCCACTTCAGCATGAGATATATTAGCTTCTTCCACTGCCATTGTAAATGTGTAATTGCTCATAATCTTTTCTTTTTTTTTTTTCCCCTAGACCTTACAGGCAGCTTCTTCCTTTCTTCTGACTTCAGCTTCGCTGCTCCTGGGTTTCAGCATGTGGATGTTTGAGCCCTGGGGTGCAGGGGGAGGAGAGGGGCACTCCCCACCTGCCTTTGGTGTTTGGAGGAAGCCCTTGGGTTTGTGTCTCAGTGCCTTAGGCTGGGAGGTGAGTGATGAGAATGAACAACTGCAGGTAAAAAATGGCTTTTCTGCTTTTGTTTATATGTTTCATGGTGGGATTTTGCATGCAGTTTCTTTAATCACTTGGATTTTTTTTTTTTTGGTTCTTCTGTGATTTACCCTTTTAGAAACAGCTCTAAAAGCTGAGGATGCAGGTTGTTTTCCTGCAGGCCCCATCTTTTCCCAGCCTCCAAGGCATCAGATCTTTCTGTTCATTAATTTCTCCCCTCTGGTCAAAAAAGAAGCATACTTGGTTTTCTGACTGAGGTGACTTTGTACTCATTTACTTGCAGGCATTTTCCTGAGTCCTAAGAAGTCAATGTAAAGGTAAGAATTGTTTGTGATCCAAACTGGTCCTTGGTGTAAGAGCCCTGTGTCATATTTCCACATAACCAGGCAGCCCAATGCCAAAGAAAATTCGTTAAATCACCTGTTGTGATCCTACATTTCCCATTTCTTTGGATGCCCAAGTCACACTGATCCATGGGTGCTTCATGCTGCGGCATTTCCTAATGCAGGAGACACCAAATTCAAACCCTTGGGAGCAAATTCCCCTCTGGGTGAACAGCTCCTTCACCTGGAATAGCAAGGTTGGCCCAAAAGGCCACAGCTTTGCCCCCCAGCAAAGGGATTTTTCCACAGAACAATCCATCTCAGAGGTTGAGACAGCATGGTTTCGTTGTTTTCAGCCCCTAGTTTCATTTACAAGCAAAAAAAAACCAAGTGGTGAAAAAATTGGCCTTTGGCAAACATGCCCACAAAAGAAAATATGGGGCCAGGTCTTCAGGTGCCATAAATCAGCTGCAGTGAAGGGGCAACACTGATTTACATCAGCTGAGTGTCAGCCTGTAAATCCCCACTGACACACAGTTGAAAAACAAGCATTTCCAAGCACCTGAGCAATTTCTTTCACTAAACCACCATTCCTTTCTGCTCCCTCTCTCCATTCACATGCCTACAGAAGGGCTGCTTTGTGCTTTGAGGTTTTGGTGCTGTTGTTGTTCATAATGCCTGATTCCTTCTCAGGGCTTTTCTCCCCCCCCTTCTCCCCCTGCAATGAAAAGCTCAGTAAAATGAAGTGCCATTGGCCTCCCGTCCATCCCAGGTTTTTGTGGCAGTTCATTAAGAACAGGGAGCTGCAGGCTCTCGCCCTGCTCTCTGGACACAGTTCAATACTGTGTGCATTCTTGTGCTGAGATTTACGTCTCACATTCAAAAAAGCCCCTTAAATCAAGCAGCCTGTTAGCATCTTCTCAGGCTCTGTGTGCCTGGGAGATAAAATGCCTGCGTGCTAATAGTCAATTCATCACTGATCTTACAGAGGAAAAGCCTTTGCTTGTGTGGGAACATCCTCTGCCCAACGGTTGCCTTCGAGCATCTCTATTTATTGCTTTATTTATTTATTTGTTTAAAATTCCTCATCAGCTTGGGCCTGCATTCTGCAAGGATGCTTCAGCATCTTTAGGCTGAATCCCTCTCCATGCAGAGCAGCATATGGCTTTGCTGCAAAGGCAGCCCTGGCCAATATGCTGGACTTACAGATCTGACAGTGCCAACTTACAAAAGTTTCGTGGTACATATGTCAATACCAACTGCATAGATGGTGAGCTCTTCCTGTGCTTACCAAAGAAAATACATAAACTCCCTGGGAGTCAAGCTCAGTTGTGTAAACACTCGCAGTGGATTTATTTCATGACATGCTGTTGCCCCGTGGTCACCCAGCAGCTCCACCTCCTTTGGGTGGGTTCTCTGCCATCTCCTGTGCTGCAGCAAGCGGTGCTGGGCACTGGTGGGGCAATACCATCACATCTGGTGGGGCAAAACCATCACATCTGGTGGGGCAAAACCATCACATCTGGTGGGGCAAAACCACAGGAGCAGGTCAGGTTTCACACGGGGAATCCAGCAGACGCAGAAACGCATCACCGGTCAATGATTCCTTCCAGGGCTTAATTCCATCACACGCCCTGAGTATTTCCAGCCCAGCCCAGGTTCCAAAGCACCCCGTGCCAGGCACCTTGTGCTTTCAGCAGGCTCTGCTCTGGAGGTCTCTGCCAGCGCAGGGCTGCCCGCCGTGCTGCGGGGCAGGGTTGGAGCAGTGCCGGCTGCGCCGCGCCGTCCCCGCCTGGCACGGGGACCAGCCCGACCAGCAGCTCCAGCGCCCGTCCGTCTCACCGCCTGGGACACACGGAGAGAAAGGGAAAAGCAAACAAAAAAAAAGGGATTTCAGGTCTGCCTGAAGCTTCTCTGGATATGGGCTCCCTGCTCTCTGCCAGCCAGGCCCGGGCTGTTGAGATCAAGGCACCTTGAAGCCAGGGGAGATGAATCAGCATCACCCCAAACTGTAGCCATGATATTTTCTGAAAAATCCTTTCCTTAGGATTTTTCCTCCTGAGAAGCTGAGAGGCCTCAGAAACAAAATGTAAACAATGGTTATCTGCTGCTGTGGAATGCAACAGGTGCATCTGTGATTGGTCTCATGTGGTTGTTTCTAATTAATGGCCAATCACAGTCAGCTGGCTCAGACTCTCTGTCCCAGACACAAGCTTCTGTTATCATTTCCATTCCTTTTCTATTTTAGCTAGCCTTCTGATGAAATCCTTTCTTCTATTCTTTTAGTATAGTTTTAATATAATACATATCTTAAAATAATAAGTCAAGCCTTCTGAAACATGGAGTCGACATTCTCATCTCTTCCCTCATCCTGGGACCCCTGCGAACACCACCACACCAAACACCAACAGCACTTTCTTGTCCATCTCATCTGAAACCCTCTGGTTTTCCTTTCCCAAAGTGCAGCTCACAACTCTCTCAGCATCAGCTTCTTGCCTCTGACCAAGGCAGAGTGACAGAAGTCCCCTAAAGCTGTGGGGATGTTGTGGAAAGTCCCTTTGGAGCTGGGTCATTTCAAAGCTTTTTCATTACAGTACAGACTGAGTTGTCAGGAGTGGTCGATACTATGGATTATGGTGGTGCTCCTGAATGATGGGAATGCTTGATGCCTGTCATTTACTGTCGTTTTTTATTTACTCATCTGGCCTTCATGCCTGGCCTGGGCACTTTATTAATCCAGACAGTGCAAATGGATGTGTGTGCTCTTACTTAGTGCTGGCTGGGAAGCTGCGTTTTCCATCTGCTGGAACATCGTGCTTTTAAAAAACAAAATTAGTTTGGTCTTAAATTAGTTTTGCAACTGAAAATTTGAAATTAAAAATTCTCCAGGAGTTTAGAAGTGTGCCTGTCCCCACTGTTGCTAAAATCAAGGAGCACAAGGCTGACTGGTCCAGCACTCTGCATTGGTGGCAGGTCCTGGGCTTCCCAAGCAAATTCCTGAGATTTGGAGACAACTTAAAGAACCTGAGCTTTTTAAAAAAAAAACTCTTTGCAGTCATTGAAGCAAAGCTTTGGCATTCAGCCTCACAAACCATCTCCCCAGTTCTGCCCCAACTCCTTGTCTCATTACAGTTTTGATTTCCCACTGGTGAGACCCCAGTGATGAGCCCACGGCTGAAGGTCTGGAGCTCTGCCTGGTGGAACTGCTCTGAAGATGGATTTTTCTGCCAGCTTAATGTGCTGAGATTTAGATTTTTTTTTCTTTTTTGTCATCACGAATCAGGACAAAAATATCCAAAGAGAGCTGCAACTTTTTTTGGAAATGAAAGAGCCTGTTCCGACCCCAGCTTTTTTTGCTACCCGCTTAACTTTTTAGGATAGTATAGAAAGTGACAAAGAAAACATAAATATAAGCCTGTCACTTTGGAAAAACATATTTTTTCACCTCAAAATAGACACCCTAGTCAAAATGCAACCCAGGAGGGGGTGGGAAATCTGGCAACGTAGCAATTTTTTACTAAAATGGCTTTTTTGGTGGCGAGTTGTGTGAGGAGTTGCTTGACCTGAGCCTTTGCCCTTCCCTCCCCTCCCTGCCTGCTGAGGTTTGTGCTCTCTCCCTTGGAGCAGCCATCCTTAGTGGGATGCCACAAGGCCTCCAGAAGATTTCCTGGATTCAATCCAGCAATTAAATTTATTATTACTATCTCTATTCATAGTAATAATAAATTACAGAATGGTTTGGATTGGACGGGAACATCTCATTCCAACTCCTCTGCCATGGGCAGGGACACCTTCCACTATCCCAGGCTGCTCCAAGCCCTGTCCAACCTCACCTTGGACACTGCCTGCAATGGGACAACCTATGCCAGGGCCTCACCACCCACACAGGGAAGATCTTCTTCTTCATATCCAACCTAACTCTGCTCTTTTTCAATTTAAACCCATTCCCCTATCCCCTGAGCTGCTCAGCTCAGGGGCTGTTCAGCATAACCTGTCAGAACTCAGCGTATCCCTCTGGGTGTCCAGAGTTGCCAAGGACCCCACCGGGGGCTCGGAGACCCTGGCACACAGCCCAGAGCACCTGTGGGTTTGATTGTGACCCCTGGAGCAAGTTACCAGCTTTGTATGAGGACCTGAAACTCACAGAAGTTTAAATAGTATAATAATAAAATTATCACAGGGTGAAAATGTAGATTTTAGGATTTTTGGAATGGGGGTTATGGGGACAAGATGGAGGAACTTAGACGTGTCTAGCCTTTCTTCTTCTTCTTCTCCATGTTCTGCTGTGATGTTGGCAATTTGGGATTGGTTTAGAGTAGAAATTCACTGTCTAACATAGGTGATAGGTATTGGGAATTAAGTGTAAATATGTTACACGTAGTTTGTAGTATAAAAAGACAACACCACCTCAAGGGCGGTCAGAGTGCCTGTGGCTGCCTGGCTGAGCAGACCTCGGCTGGGCGGAAAGAAAATTTTATAGATAAGAATTAATAAACAACCTCAAGACTGAAAAGTGAAGAGCTCTGACTCGTTCTTTGGACACGTGGGCCAAAACAGAGACACCCTGCACATCTCAGGGCTTCAATTAACAACCAACAACCTGAGATAAGCCAGCCACAAAACACGGAAGGGGTTGATGTGTGGATGCCAGGAGCTGTTGGTTTAGCCACGCGGAGAGGGAAATCCTCCCCTTTGGGCTCTCACCTGGGCGCTGGGTGTGCTGGCAGGCGGCTCCTCGGTGGCCAGGGCGGCAGTGGCAGGAGCAGCTGTCCCCCAGCAGCACGGGCTCCCCGTTGTTGTGGCAGGGGCTGCAGCGACAGGGGCTGAATTCCAGCAGGAACTCATCCAGAGCCCTCCTCAGGTGCTGCTCTTTGCTCCTCATGTGGCCGAGGCTGCTCCTGCGCAGGATTTCGTGGATGGGCTGCAGCTGCAGGGATGGAGATGGATGGCATGGGAACAATTTCAGCTGGGCATCGACTGGGATGCTGTGACATTGCTGGATAAATTCAGGACTCGGGGAAAAACTCATTTGTCTTCCTTGACAGCTGCATGTGCATCATGCAAATGTGGTGCTGCCCCAGTGAGGAGCCACCATTCCAAAACCTTCCTCATCTTGGGGGTTTGTGTGGGATTGGCTTTTCTGGACATGCTTTGGAGTTTCAGTAGGGATTGGATTGATAAATTAAAACACCCCAGTAAGCCCATTTTTTGGACTGATTTCTTAGTGCTGTCACAGTCCCTGGGATTCTTGCATGCCTTTTGCCTTTTTGAAGAAAATGTTTTGGTAAGAGCTTTGGACAGAGAGTATCATCAAAATTTATTGCCATCCTATCCCTTGCAGTGGCCAGATTGTGAAATATCCAGTAAATGCTGAGAATGAGGAATTTTACCTATATATCTTTTGCCCTTTGATGTTGTGAAATAATACTGTCATCTACAGCTTTGGGAATGTAACTCACTCATCATATTTTCCAGCAGCAAGATCCAGCTCCTATATACCAGTCAGCAAAAATAGTCCAGTCTGGGCAGCAATTATAACTTGCCCAACTGAATATTAATATTCAATGAGTATTAAAGCTAAAAACTTGGGACTGTGTGAGGACACTTATTTACATTTGTCCATCGATGCTCCTGGGCAAACGCTCCCTTGTCCAGGCCAGGAATTTGTTCCAGGGAAGAGCTGGGTGTCAGCTCACTGTGCAAGGCACTGTGAGGGTGATTGTGGGTAGGATCAGGATCAGCTGGGCTTTGGGAAGAGCTCTTAGTCAAATTTGCACAAGCCTGTTTGACAAACTGAGGGGACTGCAGATAAGAGCTGCTGAAGTGGCCCCTCTGGTTGCAGGGAGCTCTGGAGAGGTCAGTGCATGGTTTACTGGAAAATAGAAAGGTCAGTGCATGGTTTACTGGAAAACTGCAAGAAATCTTGCCCAGAATTAATGGGACCTTTTGCAAAAAGGTGAATAACCTGCAGCTGGAACTGAAAGCACTTCTGTGTTATCAGATCTTTCTGCCACCAGCTGCTGCCCAGGAAGGTTTGCACAGTCCTTCTTGCTCTGCCAATAACACAGATAATTCCCAAATCCATTTTCCCTTCTCCCACTCTCTGTCAGAGCTTTCAGACCTGCTTTCAAATGAAGACAAGAGGGATAGAAATGGCAGCATGTCCCTGCCATGACAGAGATCCTTCCCCCACACTCCACAGCTGAGGAGTTGTGGCCACCCCCTCGTGCCTCTGCCAGCTCAACTCTGGATTATTTGTTTGTAGGATCACTCTTTTCTGTCCCTTTTATCCCCTCTCCTTGCACTCATCTCCTCCCCCTCAGAAGCCCTATAAGATGCTTCACTGATCTTCCCATTTTATGGGGCACCCAGTGAAACAAAAGGGAGAATAGAGCCTCGCTGATTTTTATGGCCACAGACCTTCTTTTTAGAGTGTGGAGAAAGACAGGACCCTCCTGACAAAGCGGCCAGGAGCTCTCTGCTCAGAGAACTCCTGGAGGGGGGCTGTCTTTGCAGCTGGGTAACAAAACACCTTCCCCAGCCCCCTGTGAGCCCCCTGCTTATACAGGAGGGTGGACAGCATCAGGGAGAATACTAGAGATGAATACAGCTTCAATTCTTTGTAAAGCTGTTGGGGAACACATCAGAAACTTAACCTGGCACTAATCCAGCATTAAGCTCCTTGTCTGTCTCCCTGTGGATGCAGTCAGTGGGAGATGTACTCCCCATTGTGAAATGAATAAGAGGTTACCAGATCAGTGGCCCATTACATTTAATCTTGTTCTGTGATGGGATCACAATAAAAATACAAAATGATCTGCTCGACTACACTTTCATTCCTTAGAGCAGCAGAGTTTCTTCAACTGCAGAAAAGCCTTACCTGGAAATCAATAACAGCAGGATTATATTTTAATGACCTGCCCCAGTGACGGTACATATTGCCATCCCAACTCTTCAGGAGCCCTCCACTGGAACTGGTGTCTCCCCCTCTAATCCGGGGAATAATATCTTCCACAACTGCACTGTGGCTCTCAGCATCTGCAGAGTAGAATTGCACAGGTAATACTCAGCTGCTGTTCCACACAGGCTGCAGACTCTGCTCGGTGGAGGGGAGATCAATTGTGCTGTCAGGGGCTGCCTCCCGGGATCGATGGGAGCTCAGTGCTCCCTGCTTGTGGGGTGAGCCCTGCCACCTCATCACAGGCTGACAACTTGAGCATCCCAAATCCTCTAAGCTGATAACACCTGAGGAGCCTGCGCTCCTCCAGCCTTGGTTTCTGGGTAGGACATGGGCAATAGGTCACACTGTCTATAGCTCATTAGGAAATGTAGAAATCTGGGGGTTGCTACACTCTTCGAGTACTTTTTAGAGTCAATTTTGACTCAGTCTGTCATTGCTGTGAACTGCAGCCTCCTAGCACCACAGCCACCCCACAGCCTCTGTTTCTCATCCAGATATATTGCTACATTAATTCCTGCTCTTTTAAGAGGCATCAGTACTCCTGGAGATGTGAACCCAAGGTTTCTGTGGTCCCACCTTGCTTGGGGGATGGCACCAGAGCTCCCATCCTCACACCTTGTGTGACCCCGCACAAATCTCTGTGCCCAAGTGACCCAAACAAGTGGCCCAAGGAGCCTGAGGAGACCCCAGCCCTGCTGCTGTACCAGTATTCAGGAGTCCTTTCTGTTTGCATTTAGAGTGTGTCAGGCTTACACCCAGATCCAGGTTCTTGCTGACTGTAAGGCCAAGGGACAGCCCAACACAGGCACTTATCTCCTCCATGCTGGTGGCTGCAAACCAGAAAACAGAGAGGTAAGTTCAGTGACTCGTGGTGTCCATTTTCCTGCTTCTCTTTTCTATCATTGAAGAAAAGATTCAGTTACTTTCATGGCTTGTATTTTGAAGTCAAAAGCTATTTTGGGCAGAGGACAGTGGAAAACCCCAATATTTTATTGGGGTATATTTGGCCTATCATATATTAGGTGTAAAAAATTGTTTCCTTAGAAAATATTAGAAGAAAGTAAAAATCTTAAGGCTTCAGGCACTGTTTGATCTATATATTTAACAACAAACTTTGGTTTTCTCACAGACTAACTCATAAATAAAGCCAGGAACAGCAGCTGAAATCATTAGATCCTCACTAATTTTCCTAAATTCGGGACCTGAATTTAGGAAACCAGATTATTAGGTGGTCTGATTTGGGAATCAGATCATTACTGGTTAAAAATCAGATCAGTTTAGGAATCTGATCATTAATGGGTTAAGCAGCACCTTAAGGAGTACCTTAGGAAAGGTGTGTGTGTGCTGAGAGCTGCCAGAGCTTTCCTGCCTGCTGCTGCCAGCACCACCACCACATACATCATGAAAATATGCAACTGGAGAGCCATGAAGCAACTGCAGAGGGGAGAAGGGAACTAATGAGGTGGTTTCACCAAGGTAAGCAATGTGCATATTTCATACAGCCTGGTTTTATGCAAGCACTTCAATGTGCTGCAAATATAAGGCCGTCCTCTAGTAGTTCCAAGTCCATTGATTTCAGTAAATGCAGGTATTGTAGGTAACAGGAAACTTTCATATTGCTCTTTTTTTGTCAAGAGGACCTTAAAGTGTTTTCCAAGGAAGGCTGGTTTGAAAGGAGGCACAGAGGTCAGTGGGGTTTGTGTGTTGTGGTTTGATGGTCTGAAGTTTAAACCTCTGTCCAGGTGCCACCCTGGAGCACTGTCTGCTGAACAGCCTCCCCTCAGCACTGGGGAGCAGGGCCTTGCCTTGCTTGTGTTTGAAATATTGCCCAGACACTCATGGCTCTGGTTTTGTGGGGTTATGGAGTGGTGTGGGTTAAAAGGGACCTTGAAGGCCCATCTGGTCCAGCCTCTCTCCCTCATGGACTCAGGGACATCTTCAGCTACACAAGTTTGTTCAGAGCCCCATCCAACCTGGCCTTGAATGTGTCCAGGGATGGGACACCCACCACCTCTCCAGGCAACAGTGTTTCACCAAACTCATGGTAAAACGTGGCTTCTTTAATCTACATTGGCCCTCTTTTAGTTGAAAACCATCACCCCTTGTCCTGTCACGACAGGCCCTGATTAAAACCTGTCTTTATAATGTCTTTTAAGCACTGGAAGGTTGCAATGAGGTCTCACTGAAGACTGGATAAGAAAAATCCAGGCTGAAAAACATAAATTCCCTCAGCCTTTTCTCATAGGAGAGGTTCTTCACTCCTCTAATCAGCTTTGTGGCCTCCTCTGGGTTTGTCCCACCAGTTCCATGTCTTTGCTGTGCTGGGCACCCAGAGCTGGATGCAACACTGCTCGTGGGGCCTCACCAGAGGGGCAGAATCCCCTTCCACCGCCTGCACGTGGCCTTGCTGGACCTCATGAGGTTCCCAAGGGCCCAGAGCTTGCCCAGGTCCCCCTGGGATGCCACCTGCAGGCTTGTTCCCTTCTGCCCACCCTACAGGAGAGGCTCACTGGGACACAGATCTGCTCCTTGGCTTGGTGGATCCAAACCCTGCTCAGTTACTCAGCATCCTGAGAAAGGGGCTTCAAACTGGTGAGAGCTGAAACGCACTCCAGACCTGAGTTGGGAACTGCATCCCACTGCAAAACTGGGCCCTTGAGAAAGATTAAACGTGTAGCACTCAATTACTTGTACTAAACTGTTCAACAGTTGTAAACACAGTGGGTAAAGTTCACTCACCCAAAGCAGCACGCGTGATTGCTTATCTTGGTGCTGGAGTGCCATAAAATTAAACTTGAGGAACACCCTGATTAATTGATTTGCCATGGTTCCTGTTGAGTAATTATGTTCAGCGAGGGGCTGTCGATACCATTCGCCATTGGTCGTGGCAAGATCGGGTCTTGATAAATGAAAAGTGGTTATCACTGCAAAAGGGTGGCCTCAGTAAATATTAGTGCTTGAGGGGGGAGCCCTGATAGGGTTTTTTTTTTTGTTTTATATGATATAATTTGCGATAGTTAAATGTGCTCGAGTGATAAGATTTACTGCTGCATTTTGAATTAATCAGAATATATGAAGACTCTTTCTAATTTACTCCACGCATAATGTTCCTCCCATAAATGTTCTTGTAATGGGTGAACACATTATACTGTTTTCTGCTAAATAATAGAACCATAACAATCTATTTTAAAAACAAGTAATGAAAAATATTGATGGCAGAGCAACGAGGGACCTCGCTCTGACATACGTATTTATTTCACTCATGACCACATCCATATAAGCCCTTGCAGCCTGAAAGCTGGGAATGGGTCTTGCAGCAAAACTGCAGCCCTGAGCTCTGCATTGAGCTGTGGATACCTAAACACAGGAGGTGATTTCATTTTCAAAATTCAGGTTTCCTAAATGCTCAAAGTCGGAGCCAGATGCTCAGTGACCACCTAAGCTGTGTCTCATTTAGGAAGGACTCAGCCAAGGGATCTTTTTCCTGAGTTTGTGCTTTGGTCACTGGTCTATAAGAAAATGAATATTCTGTGTTCTAGAGCATTTAGCAAGCAGCCTGGTGGGCTGGGTGGGCCCTGAGGATGCAGTGGTTGACCTAAAGCAGCCCTGTGGGAGCTCAGTGATGCATCTGCAGAGCTTCGGACTCGTCTTAGGAAGCTCTGATTTTAAGACTTGAGCACTTGTATCCTGATCCTAACCATTCCTCAGGGAAGGAGGATAATCCTCTTGCAAACACAGCCTCCAAGCATGGCTGTGATCAACATTAGAGAAATCAGGGTTTTTTTTTGCTAAATGCTTTCAGACAGTGGCATATCAGACACTGCAGGTGGGTCCTTCTGGGTCAGCACTGTGTGACACAGAGCACTGCTGGCTTTGTGAGGCTGGACTTTCTGGCAGAGGCTGGATTAGATGAAAATTACAGAATGGTGCTGCATTAGAATGAAAATTACATCTCTACCGGGGTGCATTTTTGTCTTTTGCTGGACTTCAGTATCCTTCTTTCCTAAGATAAGGCATCTCGTAGCAGTAAATCTCCTTACATACACAGCAAGCACAAGATAAAGCGAAATAATAGCCTCCCTCCACATGCTCTTGATTAATTCTTCCTCTGAAATTGGCAGTCTGCTTCCTGAAGACTTGCTTGCCAAGACCTTGTTCACTTCTATATCACTCACCCTTCAAAGTGAAGGAGTAATTTGAAGAGGCATCATGTTTCCAAACATTGGAGGTTCAGGAACTTGACGAAAATTCTCTCAATCAGTAATTTCTTGTGGAAAATTTGGCATGGTTAATGTGCAATATGGAATGCATAGTTATCCTAATGCTGATGGGACCCAACCATTTCAGACCAGAGGCAGAATCTGGGGCAGAACCATGAAAATTATTGAAATTACTGAAATTACAGCAATTTGCAGCTGTTGTCCAAGCTCACAATTTCCTTCTTCATCAGTGTCTGGCCTGGAGTTACCAAGGCAGTGGTACCCCCAGCACAGCAGAGTGATGGCCCTTGGTGAAAATGGGATTTATTGCATTGTTGACACCTTTACAAAAGTTGACAACCTGGTTATTGAGCCATATTATTGTTCTATATCCCATGTTTTTGATTAGGAAAAATGTTACATTTTTGACTTGCTAGCAATGGCAATTCTCAGGCTCTCGGTGTCTGCAGTGGGTGTTTTATCTAACTGAGATTTAGAGGTAGGGCCCTCCAGCCTCATACACTCCAATTTGTTGAGAACTGGAGCTAACAGGGGTCTGTTAATCTCCAGATGTGACACTAAGCAGAGTGAAGTGGCAGAGCTATTGCTGAGTGCAGTGCAATATTTCCATTTACAGAAAATTGTGGCCCTCACTGCAAACAGGCTGAAATGTGAGAGGGCTGATTTGCTGAGCTCTGGGTGGCTCTGCAGCCTTCAAGCTTTCATGGTGAACAAAGATGACAAGAAATAGGAGAAGATTAGCAAGAAATGGAGAAAATGATGCTCAGTTTCCTTCCTTAATGACCAAACCCTCACCCAGGTACTTCTGAAATCAGAGCAGGAACCACATTTGGTGACACTCAGGTTAATCCCAAGCCACGTGGCCAGTAGTGCCACCAGGCTGGAAATGCCAGGTTTAAAGCAGAAAGCTGAGAACAGAGGATATATTTTGATTTTCTCACCTTTTCTTCTCATCTCCTCCTTATTGATGACAAGGATGTACTCAAAGACCCCCCCCATGGTGCCAGATGTCATGAAGTGGGTGCCGTAGTCGTTGATGAATTTGGCATACATGCCATAGTTGTAGGTGTCTGGGAGCTCCTGCAGGGAGAGCAGCATATCTTCATCCAAAACAATGTTGTCCCTCCTCATCTTGAAGCGGGCTGTCTGCACCTTGGTCACAGCTCTAATGAACCCAACATTCTGCAGGAAAAGGAGAGAGGAGCTGCAGCCAACATGAATTTAAACACATGAATTTCTAGGCTTTAGGCTTGCAGGGGAAAGCCTGAGTCTCTGACTGTCAGTGCGCGCATGAAAACAAGCCTGATTTAAATGAAATAATGGTAATTCTTTTCTTAAAGTCTGATTTGCTGTGGAGGTGGAGGGCCTTGTGGGGGTTGGATACTACAGGGGTTTTATTGATGTGTGAATATGATCAGAGTTGGGCTCCACATGATTCCCCTCCATTCTCCATTTCTGCAAATTTTTTTTCGAGTTTCCTTTCCATACTGTTTATTCCCTTCTTGCTTTTTTCACAAACTCAATGAATAGCAAAGAATAAGGGTCAAGCCCAGCCCAGCAGAGGGGAGATTCCTTGGCCAGAAAGATGCTGATGGAGGGAGAATTTCCTGGATATACCACCAGCTCCAAGGCTCCAGCTCTGTATTTGCCATCGCTTTGCACAAGTCTCCCCTGCAACACGAGCAGCCCTTTAAATGATTCCTCCAATAACTAATCATCATTTAGCTGCAAACATCATGTGAGTCTGGACAAGGGCACAGTAAATACTATAATGGTGCTCATTTCAAACAGCTTTTAAGGGCATTTTAACTCGGAACACCATCAAAGTAATTCTTCTTTATTGTTTTCTGTCAGCAGCCCGGAGAGAAGTGGAGATGGGGCACGGTAAATGTGGGAAATACCAGCACTCATGTTATTAGATTGGAAAGAGGTCATCACTGCCAGTCCATGATGCAAGCCCTCTGTGAGAAGTACACCCTATTATCAGGTGCTATTTTTTTCAGCGTGGTATTTTAACCTCCTGTTAAAAGTAGCCCATTTCCCCGTCACGAGGCAGCTCGTATTAATTTGAGCAAGATATATTTGCTACTAGAGATCATTCCTTGAGGATAATTGTTCTGATCAGCATCTTGATATTCCCTCCTCCCTCATTGTCACTTTCAAGCATTTTTTTTATTTATGTGCTCAGTGTAACCATGAAACAGGATGGGGTGAGATGACATGTGCCGTGGCACTCCGTAATTCAATTTTATTCCCACTCCCTGTTTGCTGAAACATACCAAGAACAGCAAACAGGATTCCTAACGATCATACATTTGCAATTACATGAACAAATTAAGGTACAATTACCCTGTGTTAAAAAATGCAATTGAGAGAATAAACTGACATAAGTTACAGCCAGACCATGCGATGCACAGATGATGCAACTGGAGCAGATGCATCACTGATTTGCTTGGATCTTTTTTTTTACCTTTGCATCATATTGTGTGAAATTCTTCAGGGATCCTTTGCCACCTGATAAAGTGAGGCCCAGGTTTAGCATGACATGTAAACCTCCAGGCCCAATTCCAATGGTGAAGCCTGTTGATCTGGATTTATCACTTTTAAGGGCATCAAGCAGGTCCTTTGAATCCTCGTAAAACTCAAAAGAAAACCCAGAATCAGCATGAGCCTAAAATGAAAGGAGCAGACATTAATTTTTCAGGGGCTTCCCTTCCTTTTTAATCTCTATTTCTTGAAGGAATACCACTGTTAAAAGCCCATGATGCTCCTGAAGTCAGCACCAGCACTGACTTCAGTGAGTGTGGAATAAGGAATTAAGTCCTGTGCCATTTCATTTGGAAATATGTGAGAAATGTGGATAAAGCCAAGCATTTTGCTTCTTCCATCTCCAAGCAGGGGAAAGGTCTGTGTTTAGCCACTCAAAGCCAGAGCTGGTAATGGTAGCTATTAAGACAGCCTGACACTTCTCATTATAAAAACCTTCCTTCCAGTTCCTTACAGCTCTGCCAAATCCTAATGATTTTGACTGAATTTTTTTTTTTTTACTCTCCAGCCTGCTTCTGGATGAATTTATTTAGGAAAAGAAAAATTCAACATCTATTTACAATGGCAAGGCTAGAAAACAAACATTGTTTTGCCTGTGTTTTAGAGAAGTGACCTTTTCCTTGACAGCTCTACTTTGCCGGCACCTGGAATCGAGCAGCTCTGCTGAGTCTGAGCTCTGTCATTTGCCAGCTCTGTAAAAAGCCAGCCCCAGTGCTCAAACTGGGGACTGAGGGACTCTGCCTGCTGGGAGGGCATGAAAGCTACTTGCATTGAGTAATGTTTCCCAGGAATAATGTGTTTTCATTAATTCATGTCAAAAAACACGATTAATGTTTAACAGTGTGGCCAAGGCACCCACTTAGGATGTGAGAGACCCAAACTGAATCCTTTCTCTGCTTGAATCACTGTCCAGCATCAGACATGACCTTATGGACTGGAGGTATTGTGATCCCTGGTGATGGGTTGCAGGATGCCTGTCTCACTCAGAATTCAGATTAATGCCCCTTGTAGACTTAAAATGACTTCAAAGATTGAACCAGCAGCGTTGTTACCATTTTACACATGGCCAGCTCAGTCCCTAGAGAGGCAAAAGGCTCCTGCAAGCTCTACAGCTCATTAATAGCAGAATTTAGAGAAAACACCTCTCACTTGGCTCTGCCTGGGCCAGAGGAAGCAGTGGGGATGCCTGGGTGATACAGCATATGCATTCCTTGAGGCACCATAAATCAACATTTACACATTGAGTGCCTGCTGGGGTACCTTAAAGACAACTAGAGATAGAATGTACCTCATCTCTTTGTGGGAAGTTGTTGGAACCCAGGAAATTCCTCTGGCTGCCCTGGAGGACTCGAGACCCTGCCAAGGGGCTCAGAGACCTTGGCACAGAGCCCAAGACCCCTGTGCCTTTGATCTTGACCCATGAAAAAAATTACCAGCCTTGATATGAAGAATTACAAGTCAAGAAAGTTTAAGTAGAATGATAGTTAATTTATCACAGGGTGAAAATGTAGAATTTTGGGGTTTTTAGAACGGGGGTTCAGGAGGCAAGATGGAGGAATCTGGGTGTGTCCAGTCCTTTCTCCTTCTTCTTCTTGGCCTTCATCTTCTGCTGTGATGGTGGCACTTTTGGATTGGTTTAGAATGGAAACTCGCTGTCTAACATAGGTGATAGGTATTGGGAAATTATGGTAAATAATGTACATGTAGTTTTTAGTATAAAAGATAACACCAGAGTACCTCTGTCTGTCCTGCTGGATGGACCTCAGCAGGACAGAAGAAAGAATTTTATAGATAAGAAACAATAAACAACCTTGAGAACAAGAATAGAAGAATTCTGACTCCTTCGACCGCCGGGCTGGGAAAAGAGACTTTTTAACACATCTTGGGGTCACTCTGACCAGCAGAAGTCCCGAGAGGAAGTTTGGCTGTTTTGCTGAGGAATTGCTGCTAAATTTGCCCTCTTGCAGCACTCACCAGGAACTGGTAGAAGTGGAGGTTGTAGGGCTTGCGGAAATACTTCTCATCCTCGCCGTAGTACAGGCGCTCGCAGGCGGCGTCGTAGCGCAGCTCCCGCCACTCCCCGTTGTACACGTACTCACAGAACCCTCCAAAATACCCCGGGTCATAAACATTCTGCCTCCCTTCCTCCGTCAGGATGTTGTACCTTGGAGAGAGGAATGTGAAAAGTGCATATTATATGGCTCTATGCAGATATTTGCTGCGTGTATTATGTTGTGTTGAATAGTTGGGCTGTATGAACGTTTTAATAGTATGGGAAATGCAGTTTTGTAGTTAAAGGGCAACTTTTGTAGTTAAAATAGGAACTATGTATGTGGGATATTTTTTTAAGAAAGGAATGAGGTACTTGCAGCAGATAGCAGCCACAGGACACCCAAATCTTTCAGAGAAAGAGAATTTATTGCTCTCTTGTCAGAAGAAACAAACTTCTTCCTGCCTCACTCAGCCATGAAGACACTGTTAGGATTAAGAGGAAAAGCTGACACTGACCAGATGAAATCCTTTGTTTGAATGGAATTTATGCATCATGTATGAGATATATGAATATGCAACAGGCTATTGCTTTTAAGGGTTAACCCTCTGTTAACGTGGGGCCTTTTTTGGCCTTATTTTGCCCAGAAAAAGGTACCCAGACATCCATAACCCTTCGTTTCTATTGTCTCGTATTGTCCTAATCCAAATTGTCCAAATTATTATTACTCTAATTATATGACTAGTTTGATAACCATTTTATTACTATTAAACTTTTAAACTTTTAAAAACAAGTGATGGGTGTTTTTCACAAGGAATTTATCCATCACTCTGGTTTTATTGCCTCAGTCTCTGTCACAGGTTCTCCTGATACTGATACCCCCACCACCAGGTTATCCATCCTCAGGCCTCCTGAGGAACTGGAATAGAGCTTGAAGCTGGGTTGGGTTTGTTATCTCCTTGCTGTCTCCTTCCCAAAGCTACCAGGAGGCAAACAGCCATTTTATTTCCAAGACATTAGTTTGGGCTCATACGCAAGAAATGGAAGAAATGAGTGAAGTTGCCCAGCCCCTCCCAGCAAGCACAGCTATGAAAGTCCCAAAGTCCTGGAATTCCTCCAGGTTCCTCTTGAGCCTAATGCATCTCATTGTCACAAAGTGCTTCCTGGCATTCTCTGCAATTATTTTCTGTCTTAATTTAATCTCTTTCTTTTTAATAATGGTCCCGTTTCTCAGGGTAGTTAACACCCTCCCTAGACATGAAGCCTGTGCTTTGCCAAGTCTGTCACTTATTATTTCCTTATTCCTCCTTCTTCCTGCTCTCCAGCCCTCACAGCTGCTGCCCTCTGAAATCCCTCCTATTACTTAGTATTCCATGTAATTGCATGGCCCAAAGTGAAAGCTTTATTCAAACTAGCAGCAGCACTGCTCTTCTCAACAGGGAACCATCTTTAGGACTAAGATAGCAAATGCCACTGCTTTTGTGTGTTCTGCAGGAGAAACACTTCAGAGACCAGCATTAAACAGGGTTCTCAGTGGTAATTAATGCATGCCCTGTAAAACTTTTGATGGACCCTCCCAGGCCCTGGGCCAGGGAGACATTTATCTCATGGACTCCAGAGAGTGTCGGATTGAGCTGATTGGAAAGTTACACAATGGCTGGCTCCATTCTCATCCTGCAGCCCATGTTCATAAAATCCTAGAATGGTTTGGGCTGGGAGGGACCTTCAAGATCATCTCATTCCAATTCCTCTGCCACAGACAGGGCCATGTTCTCCAAGGGAAACTGAGCTTGGTTAAAATACAAGGTTTTCAACAGGAGTGTCACAGTCACAATTTGCCTTTCATTTTATTCTGGATTTCTCTTTTGCCTGTATTACCTAATCAAATTTTTTTTTTGAAAATTTGAAACTGAGCAGGGAAACACTTTTTGTGGGTAGGAGTATTTACATATACTTGTGTGGGGCTCAGGCTCTCTGCCTTGAATCTGTGCTCTGAAGTCCTAAATCCTGGAGCTAAATCTCCTTAAGGATGAATGCCAGCAGGGTGCTGCATCTCCAAAGTCTGCTGTTTGTTTTAGTCTCTTACCTTTAACAACTGGAGAAAGCTGTGAGATAACTGGGATCTATTTTTTCAGGAGTATAAAAAGGGCATCACAAGTACTGTGGTCAGGCAATAGATCTGAGACTGAGGATTGAAATAAAAGATGGAATGAACCCTCATTGCCACCCATGGTCACATGGGACAGCACCTCCCCTTTGGGTACAGCCCCCTATCAATTCCTGGATCACTGCTATTACTAAGGAAGAGCAATATAAGAAACATAATCCTGTTTTGATTGCGAGAGGAGCAGCTATTGATTAATTACTCACCCTTGGACTATTTTTTCCATCCCTGGGATTGGGAACAGATGTTCACAAGGGTTTTCAATATCTTCATCCTCACAATTATCCTCATCAGACCCATCTCTGCAGTCCCAGTCTCCGTTGCACACGAGATGCCGTTGAATGCAGCGCCCTAAAGTGCACAGATGCAGGCGGTGGCTTATCCCCCCTCCAGAAATCCTGGCTGGCAGCTTGCATTGATTATGCTGTTTTTCACCCACATCTCAAGGCCACAAGAAGTCATGCTGCATGTTAAGCACGGCGTTATGCCATGGGGAATTGGTTTTTCCAAGCTTCTGGGACCTAAACACAGCACAAAGTCCAAGCTGGCCACTCCCGTGGGCTTCTGTCAGGTGGGAATCAAGGACAGGTCACCTCACTGCCCTGAATTTATATTTTCTAAAATCACACTCTTGGAAAGTTGCTGTAGGAATAGCTTCACCCCTTAGCTTAAGGAAGTCAACTCCATCTTATTAAAGTGCAAGGTTTCCTCTTCCCATTGCAGAAGGCATTTGGGGAGTTTATTGCAATAATTAATTGCAAGAATGGATATTTGCAGGAAAGGCAATATAGAAGGGCTTTTGCCTCTGGGAGCGGGGAGAAAGCCTTGAGGAGGGGACTAGCACTGTTTAATTTACCCCAGTGATGATGGGGTAATAATGGAGTGATGATAACCTGCTCCAGCTGATGGGCTGGTCACAGAGCTGGCCTGTGGCTCCAAATTTTGATATAATTTTCATTAAATGCTCAGGAAGGAAGTTTGAGCCATTTGTGTAGAAACAAAAACCTGTCAAGGCTAGTCAAACTTTCAGAGAACAGCCGTTTTATATGCTGATCCTCAGAGCTGGAGGTGGCTAAAAATAACTAAATCACCCCAACAGATTGCTGGTTGGATTGATGATTGAACTCTGTCTCTAGCAGGGGAGAACGTGGCGCATTGTGGGAGCGGAGTGTGAGCACACAGCACAGCAGTTAGAGCAGAATATTCCTACTCCCTTTGTTCCACTGAAACATTCACATTCTCCATGTCACACAGCCTTCTTTTCTACCCAAATCTGAGTGCAGCATGGATGGATTTCTGTAAAAGTGGGGGGAAAAAACACTGAAGAGGGGAAAATCCCTGTTCTTTCTCTTGTACTGGTTCACCCTCCTGCTGCCCAGGGCAGGGGACTGATACCCCCAGTGTCAGAACTCAGCGCATCCCTCCGGGTGCCCAGAGTTGCCAAGGACCCCACCAGGGGGGCTCGGAGACCCTGGCACACAGCCCAGAGCACCTGTGGGTTTGATTGTGACCCCTGGAGCAAGTTACCAGCTTTGTATGAGGACCTGAAAGTCACAGAGGTTTGAATAGTATAAAAATAAAATGATCACAGGGTGAAAATGTAGATTTTAGGATTTTTGGTATGGGGGTTATGGGGACAAGATGGAGGAACTTGGGCGTGTCTAACCTTTCTTCTTCTTCTTCTTCTTCTTGTTCTCCATTTTCTGCTGTGATGTTGGCACTTTGGAATTGGTTTAGAGTAGAAATTCACTGTCTAACATAGGTGATTGGTATGGGGAATTAAGTGTAAATGTGTAGTTTGTAGTATAAAAAGACAACACCGCCTCGGGGGTGGTCAGAGTGCCTGTGGCTGCCTGGCTGAGCAGATCTTGGCTGGGCAGAAAGAAAATTTTATAGATAAGAATTAATAAACAACATCAAGACTGAAAACCGAAGAGTCCAGACTCGTTCTTCGGACGCGCGGGCCGAAACAGAGACATCTTGGGGCAGCAATTAACAACCAACAACCCAAGATACCCCAGGACCAAAACCTCTCCTGCAGGGGTTTATGGCTGAGTCGCTCACCTGTTTCCTTGCACTGGAAGTCCTGCCCACACCCTGGTGGCCCTGAGCAGGGTGTCTCAGCTCGGCAGGATTGCTCATCCCAGAGGTGCCCCGCGCAGCGTTGCCCTCCGAACTCTGCCGGCTGCTCCAGCCGCCTGTACCGGTGCTGCAGAGAGACAGAGCCACGTGTGTCCCTCACAGACACCCCTCCACAGGCCAGACTGCAATCAAAACTATCATTTTAATAGGTATTCCTAATTTATGCGTGTGTGTGGCTTGAAGAGTTTGTGTGTGATAGAGGCAGGAGGGTCAGCAGAGGGTTGGGAGTTCAGATTTGCCTGGAGTTCGTACATGTGAACTTAGAGGGGGCTGGAATGGCTGTTTGAAAAATATCTCTGTTTTATACCTTGGAAAAATATGGCACTTTTCCAGCTGCATATGCTTTGTCCTGCAACGCACCAGGCTCAGATGGACACAGACACTAATTACAACACTGATCCTGCAACATTTCTGATGGATTATTAATGAGAATTGCTGCTCTTTAAACTAGGAAGGGGAAAAAAAAAAGAAAGGGAGAAAAGCCATATTATTTACTGATAATATACTGTCTATAAGCACAGGAACAAAAAAGGCAGGAATAAGATAAACTCAGTAGAAAGCAGAATTATGTCAGGTATGTGAAAATAAATTCTCAAACTATGAAGACATATGTGAAACGTTATAAAAATATGAGAACAGGAGCTGATGCATGAAGGCTGCTTCTAATTTCTTTTCACTGGATTATTTGCATTAAGAATCAGGGGATACTTAATTAAATCTGAGACAGAAAAGGAAGAAAGTCTTGGGCAAGTATTCTGGCCTGATTCTTCCACCATTTGCCTTGATATTGCTTTTCCTGTTCTGCTGCCTCCAATGAATTTATTCCCCAGTTTACACCAGGATAAATAAGAGCCTCTCTAGCAAAGGAGCATTTCCATCATATTTGGATGAGTTTACTGGATGCTTCAGAATGATGAATATGTATAATATATATAATTAATGTGTGTACATCCTCATCACAGACACATCTGAAGATAAATGAATACATTACAGCAGATCCTTACTTTTTTCTCTTGGCAAGGGAAGCACTCAGTCCATCCTGACCACTGGCTCAGCTGACAGTCAACAGGAGCTGGAGAATTAACATCTCTGCTGCTTCTTCTAGGGAGGGGAAGAAAGAGTGGTCTAAGGTCTTTGAAGCTGTGTTTTGAGAGGGGCTGAAGGCTGGAAGGGGGAAAATTATCTCCGTGTGTGTGTGTGTTTTTTTCCACCAGGAAACTGGTTTGTAGGAAATGGGAAGCATCCCAAGATGTCCCATCCAAGTATTCACTATCAGAATTGAGCAGGGCCTGCAGGTGCAGTGCCTGGGGATTTTGTCTTGGGATTCCTGCTCTCCCAAGACATCTTTGCCCTTTCCAACAGGTAGATTGCAATTATATAGATATATGTGTGTGACAGAAGCAATGTCATGAAGGGACAGGTTTTAGAGAAAAGCTAATTTTTTGCCTTTCTTTTCAGAAGCACATCACAATCTCCAGGAGCAGGGATTTTATCACTACTGACCCTGTTTTGATGTCACTTTCTTTACACCCATGTGAGCTCATGATCAGGATTTTTGCTGATGTGAAATCAGATCCTGCTTTCCATGGGCTTTGTGGAGGGCTGGGAATTGTTAGAGCACCAACAGTGCTGAGAGAACAAGGTACAAAGGACCTTGACCAAGAAATTTGTTGGTTGAGTATTTCTAAAGCCAAATACACAAATTCTGAGGAGAAGAAAATCACTAAAGGAATATTATGAAAGGAGAAAAGGGCAAAGGTATGGTATTGTAGTGGCTCTTGGGTCAGACTCTCTGCACATACTCTGAATATCACTACACAACAGCCAGAAAATCCTTCTCCTGCCTCCCAGCCCAGCCATTACAATCTCTAGTTCTGTCTCTACTCTAAAACCTTCATTTATTTGAGCCATTTCTTTGTCTTGAGGAGCAATCTGTGCCATGCAAACACAACCCTGCATTTGCCACAGCCTTCAAACCATTTTGAGAGTTTATTCTGAGTCAGAACATTATTTTTTTTATTATTATTTTGCTGATTAACTAATGAGCAGTCTGTTTTGCTTACAAGACTGCAGTCCAAAGAGAGATGTTGATAATTAGCAGAGGTATATAGCTCATGGGGGATTCATCAGAGGCTGGGCAAGAGAGATTTACTAAATGAGAGCCACAGCAGCTGAGTAAGGGAGCTTGTGGGTGCAGATCCTGTGTGAGGTGAAAACCCAGGGCTGGAGGACATGCAGCTGTTGGTGCCTTTTTGCTGCCACAGGAGGCTTTGTGGGCTGCATCCTTCAGCACTTCCCAAAGTGCTTAATTGGCTCACCTTCGATTGGGTTTTACATTTACCTCTTCATTACTCTGCCTTGTTTGATAAGTTCATCAAACATCAAAAATCTTGTCTTTGTTCATTTTCAAAAGGGATTATCAGAATAAGCCTTCATAATTAAGTGTATCACTGCCACAGTTTTTTTCCTTTCTGCCTTCCCCTTGTCTCCATGTTCCAATTATCACTGATACCTTTTTTTGATCCTCCTAAATCATATTTGCCTTTACAACAAGCTTGAAATTAATAGCTATAGAAAAAAAACCTCCACCCATTTCCCTATCAGGACACTGTAGCTTTAGAAAAAATGTAACTTGTTTATTCTTTTCCTTCAAAGCCCGAGTGACACTTGGATAGGTTAATAATATTGTTCATGGGGAAAAAAAAAAAAACCTGAGGAATGAGGATCTGGCTTGGACTGAAAACTGGGTTATTCACATGCACTTGTTAGCTTCGTGTTGTCGAGTGTAAAATAATTAGAATGCAAAAGAATATGAAAAATATTAACTCATAAATCATCCTGTATAGAGAATTCATTTCAAGTGCCCAAACCCAGCCTGGTAATTTCGGTAAGGAAGTTTAAGAAGGCTTAATAGTCATCTGTAAAAGGAAAATCATTGTGCAAACAGTTCCTTTAAGAGGGAATTATGATGCCTGACTCGGGCTTTGGACAGCTGCCAATTTTTAATTTTTTTTTTTTTCTTTCCTGGTAGCTTTGTGCACATGCCTCAAGTCAGGACAAAACTGATGGGCTGATTGGCATGCTGGTAATTCCTGCATGGAAATGTGGGGAAGGGAACAGACTTACCTGTGTGAAGGCAGTGCCTGGAGCTCCCTGCACGCCTGGGCTGGTGTTAAAGCCAGTGAGCACACAGACAGGATCCAGGCACAGAGCTGAGCCAGGCCCCACCACATTGCTCTGCCATACGTGAAGGTTTGCTGCAGATCAGCTGCAAACCAAAGCTTTTAAGTTTTCAGGACTGCTGGAAGGAGCATGGAGCCCACCAGGCTCCAAAATGCTGCAGTAAATCATTGACAGCAGCGCAGATCCAATCACAAAGAATCAGGACACATCCCAGAGGCCTTTGCCCTTTTGGAAACAAATTCCCAGTTTTCTGGCAAGGAAATATATTAAACTGTGCAACTGTTTCCACATTAAAGTCAATCAATCCTATTGCAGCAGTGTGTTTCCTACCCAGCCTGCGCCCTCCTTTTAATTTGAAGGAGGAGGAAACTCATGTTATTTCCCACTGTGACTTCCCTATGATTTTGATGTGTCTGGTTGCTGACCAGGGAAAAGCTTCCCAGTACAGCAAATTGAAGATTAGCACAAAATTGTGTTATGAGGAACGTGTACCTTCCAGATACCCGAAGGAAATGTCAGTTCAGCTTCCTCCCCTTGCCAGCCCCACGAGGCAGTTTGCCACCTCTAAAGCTGATGTGAGTTATCACCTGGCTTCTGGATGCCCCTGCACAGCCACTGCAATGTGAAAATCAAATTCCTTGTTTTCTGAAGTGATCTGGGGGGAGAGAGACGCCCCCTACATCTGAAATTGTTGTGGCCAAACCTTGTGCAAACCCATCTGCTCGTGGTGGCTCTAATGCTTTTAGCTGTGTGGAATCTCAGTGGACGTGCACAAGTGTAGGAAAGCAATACCACAGAAAGCAACAACACCACAGGTTATTTATTTTTAAGATAATAATCACAAGGTGACAACATTTAGCTCTGTTGTGTTAGAAGAAAATAAAAATGGCCGTGGGAAAGACACTTGGTCACAGCCCAAGTTGCCTCATTGTCACCATGATATTTTCTGAAAAATCCCTTTGCCAGGATTTCTTCTCTTGGGAAGCTGGGAAGCTTCAGCTTCTCCCTGTTTTGCTGCTTTGGAATGTGATTTGGAGATTGTTTATCCAGCCTGTGAATTGTTTTAATGTAATGACCAATCATGGTCCAGCTGTGTCGAGGCTCTGAGGGTTTTTATTATTCATTCTTGTGAAGCCTTCTGATGTATCCTTTCTCTTTCTTTGGTATAGTTTTAGTAGAGCATTCTTTAACATAATATCATGAAATAATAAATCAGCCTTCTGAGAACTTGGAGTCAGATTCTCATCTCTCACCTCGTCCTGGGGACCCTCACAAACACCACAGCCTCATTGCTGTTTCTTCAAGCTTTCACAGCCTCCAAAATGCCCCTATGGGCCCTGGCAGGCACAAAAATGCACAAGGAATCTGTATCTTCATTAGGCATCAGTTAAAAAAAGAGTAAGAGACCTATGAGGACTTGTGTGTTCAAACAAGTGCCTCTTTCTCCCTGCTTTTTCTTCTGCATAAGCAGCCTGAGATGCTTTGTGTATAAATGAAGTGCTCCCAGCAGACAACTGGAAGTTTGAACCTCAATAAATTCAAGAGAAAGTGTAATTATTGTAGGAAAGTCTGGTCTTGGGCTATTATGGCTGTTAAATAGACAGTGAATTGTCCTGTGTCCACAAAAGGCTGGGCTGGAAGTGTCATTTTGTGTATTTCCCAAATCAATTGCAAAGCTCATTTCAATGGCTGGTATTGTAAATTATCAAAATGAAAGGACCTCTTAGCAAGTTATTTTCATGTAATTAAAGTTCAGAGTGACCCTGGGGCTTGTCTTTGCTAAACATTAAGAAATGAAGCACAGGGGTAAACTCAGTACAGAAATGAAATGAGCAGTGCCCTTGTGTGACCTTGGGGAATACCTTAATGCAATCCTTTACCTACTAATGCACTGCAGATGGGCTCAGAAAGTCCTTCTCCTCTCTTTGCCTGTGCAAGAAGAACTCCAATAAGGGGTTTAATATTTTTTTAATATACTATTAAGCCTAAATTGCTTTAGCCTGGGAGAAGAAGCAGGGAAATGTAACTGGCCTGAGGCGATCCCCCTCGTCACCTCCCCACTGCACATCACAGCCTCTCTGCAGGTGGCTGGAAGGACAGAAGGACATAAAAAGGTTCTGGACATGCTTATAGGTCTGGTGGGGACGCACCACACTGGTTTCCATCCCAGCCTGGGCTGTCCTGTGATACAAATGGCTGTTTTGCACAGCCAAGTGCCTCCTCAGCATCTAAGCAAGGCTGTCGAAGCATTATATCTTCTATTTTTTTTTTTCCTGATAGCAGCATCAGAAACACCCCCTATATATAATGGAAGTTATTTGTGGCACATCTCCCAGGTAAAAGGCTGGGCTGGTTTGTGCAATCAGGCACAACACCAATTTCTCCCTGATAGGTGAGGTCGTCTGGGGGAGAGATTTAAGCAGCCAGCAAGGCACTCCACATTAGAGGTGAAATTAAAGAACCTTTCTCAGAGGTGATAGCTTCCAAAAGTGAGATATATATGTATATGTATATATAAAAGCCATGGTTCCATTTAGAACATTTTGAATTTAAGGTGTCTGAAGTGTTTGTGTTGGATCCTTCACTCCAAACCTGAATTAAGCCTATGGACCCCTGGCTTGCAGTGCTGGCTGTGCTGTGCATGGTGATGGAGTCACCTCCAGGAGGATGAGCCATGGAGTCTCCAGGAGCATGGAAAGAGGGCTGTGAGCAGGCTGGGGTGGGCAGTGAGCTCACATCCTCACTTTGTGTCTGTTCCCACCACAGAGCTCTCTCCCTGACACTGAAGAACCCTTGAATTAATCACTCACAACTCTAAAATCTTTTATCTAAAATCAGGGCAGGTTAACTCAGTGTAAACAAACTCCCTGATAGCAACACAGGATTTTGTTCCACTCCAGCTTCCTCAGCTACATCATCAGCTCCTTCCATTCCCTCAGCCACACCAGCTTTTCATCCCCAGCTGAACTCCTCCCTGCAGCACTGAGCTCACCCCTCAGTCCCTGAGCCTGCCTGTGCAGAGATGTGGAAAAGCTGACCCAAGGGCCAGCAGGTGAGCACAGCCTTGGTGCTGGACCTGCCAGTGCTCCTGTGGTGCCACTGAACCCAGAATCTCGGAATCTCTGCTGCTCAGAGCGACCCCAAGATGCTTTAGAAAGTCTCTTTTCCCAGCCTGGCGCTCAAAGAAGGAGTCAGAACTCTTCTACTCTTGTTCTCAAGGTTGTTTATTGTTTCTTATCTATAAAATTCTTTCTCCTGTCCTGCCGAGGTCCACCCAGCAGGACAGACAGAGGCACTCTGCCTGCCCCCAGGGCAGGGTTATCTTTTTATACAAAAAACTACATATACAATATTTACAATTACTTCCCAATACCTATCACCTATGTTAGACAGTGAGCTTCTACTCTAAACCAATCTAAAAGTGCCAACATCACAGCAGAAGATGGAGGCCAAGAAGAAGAAGGAGAAAGGCTGGACACACCCAGATCCCTCCATCTTGCCCCCTGAACCCCCATTCTAAAAACCCCAAAAATCTATTTTTCACCACATGATAAACTCACTATCATTCTACTTAAAATTTTGTGGCTTGCAATTCTTCATAACAAGGTTGGTAATAGTTTTACCAAGGGGTCAAGGCACAGGGGTCTTGGGCTCTGTTCCAAGGCTGCTGAGCCCCCTGGGCAGGGGCTCGAGTCCTCCAGGGCAGCCAGAGGGATTTTCTGGGTTCTGACACCAGAACTGCTCTGATAAGGGATCCTCCACCAGAATAAACACCTGGCTTTGAGCACACAAGGGATTACATTGGCTATGTTGGTAAAAAAAGGTACATTGGTTATATTGCTAAAAAAAAAGGTGCACTTAAGTGTGGGGTCAGGGCTGCTCTGCAGAGACAACCGTGTGGCTTGGGCAGAGAAAACACCTGACACTTTGCAAGGCTTTTAAATTCATTTTCATGGGTCCTACAGTGCTCTGATGGGGCTGATCTTCCAGCTTTTGATGTGGGTACCTCCCTGGGCTCCCAAACAGCCACAGCAACAGTTGGTTTTTGGAATGCAAGGATCAATAATGCTGCGTTTTCCTAAACCCCTCGTTCCTGCCAGGAGTGAAAGACAGAGCGAGCAGCTCGGTGCTGGAACAGTGATCCTATTTCCCCCTCTGCTGGAAAACCTCGAAATGACCTCCTGGCAGCAAAAGGAGGAGATTCCAGCCATCCTCGCCCCTGCCCATGGCAGGGGGTGGGAATTTTAGCATCCCTTCCAACCCAAAGGAATTTTAGCATCCCTTCCAACCCAAACCATTCCAGAATCCTATGAAATATGCTGGGGGAAGTGTCCTGGCCCTTCTGGGGGCAGAATAAAGCACTAAACCCGAGCCAAATCCTTCCCTAGCGCAACCCTGTGCCTGCTTTCCATTTCCCCCCATTTTGGGGGGTTTTGAAGTGGGTTTTTTTTCAGAGATATGGACCCTACTGCCTTTTCCCAGTGTTGATGTGGGGCCAGTAGCTGTGACAAAGGAAAACAACTTGTCAGACCATCCCAGTCTAAAATATCTTGACACTGGGCTAATGTTATCACCAATTATGTCATGGGCAATACCTACATTTTGTTATATTGCAAAAAAGACTGGATTGCCCCAAAATTTGCCTCTTCTTCACCAGTCACACTGCCCTACCTTTCTAAAAAGATGAAATATTAAGAATAAGAATATTAAGAAATATTAAGAATAAGCTGAAATACTAAGAATAAGCTGAAATATTAAGAATAATATTAAGAATAAATTTAGAATATTAAGAATATTAGGAATATTAAGAAATTAGAATACTAAGAATAATATTAAGTATATTAGGAATATTAAGAAATTAGAATATTAAGAATAATATTAAGAATATTAGGAATATTAGGAAATTAGGACATTAGAATATTAAGAATTATATTAAGAATAAATTCTGAAGATCTGCTGTTGTTCTTGGCTTCTAGAAGCACCTCTGTAAAATCCAAAAAGGATTAATAAGTTGAAAAAAAATTCCCAAATCTCTATAACAGACTTATAT